GCACATCACAGCCTGCTTATACACGAGAGAGGGGCGTGTGTGTGTAGGTGGGCGGTATCACGCAGCAGGCAGTGCCATAACATCTCAACTTTCTGTACAGCTTTTGTGTTTTGTGCAGGCAAGTACACCCCAACACACGCTCACGGCCTCCTTCCTGCACCGCCCCCTGAGCCTGGTACCCCTATCGACCCCCACCTTCGTGCGGGCAGCCCTGCTGACCTGAGCATGGTGTGTGCCCTTTGCCCACTTTCCAGGCATGCTTCGTGGTCACTGTCGTGTTCTCCTTAATCCTTACAGGAAGCCTTCTGTGATGACCCTACTGCGATTTCCATTTCACAGGTGAAGCAGCTGAAGTGCAGAGGTTCAAAGTAACTTCCTGGGATGTCCCAGCATGAAAGTGACAACACTGGTCCCTCCCCCCCCACCCATGCACACTCAGTCACATGCACACTGCCTCCTCAGCCCAGCTCACAGACGCCATCCTCTCAGCGTGGCGCTCCCTTCCTGCGCCCCTCCCTGGGCTGCCTTGCTGTTGACCACACAGACAGGAGCCCCGCCCTTCCTCACCCCCAGCCGTGCTCCACACCCACACCAGCACCTGCACCAGGGCAGCTGCAGGCCCCTGCCCCGCGGGGGGCGGCTCCAGGATTTGTATGGGTGACTCAGGGTTCATCATGAGCCCAGCTGCTTGGGGGCAGCTCCTCCCCGCCCTGCTCAGAAGGGCACAAGCAGGAGTGGGATGCAGTGGTGGGAGAGGGTGAGGAGGCTTCAGGGAGCTGGGGCCCCTGAGAAATGAGGCCTGGATGGGAGTGATGCTCCTGAAGTGTTCCCGGGCAGTGCCCACTGTGGCCCCCATTTTCTGTGCAGACTCTGATCTCCCTCTGTTTCTAGGACCCCTTTTGGCTCCTGCACCCTGCTCTGGACCCTAACAGTAACTATACAAATGTCACCCACATTTTACAGCACTTGTTCACGGCAGTACACTGAATCCTCCCCTATTGGTCCTAGGGGAGCACATTAGCCTCTTGGCTTTGCACCCCCAGGAAACCAAGGCTCAGAGAGGTTGCACCAACTTCCCAAGCTCACACAGCTGCTATAACACCCACTGGGATGCAGCTCAGAGCTGAGCCGGCGGACTGGGGCAAGTCTAGCTGCAGCTGCACCAGTGAGGGCGTGGCAGGGCCCTGCAGCGAGCCCAGGGCGGAGGTGTGACCAGGGTGCACAGCGCCGTGGTGGCCCGATGCCTTCCTCCACCCTCCTGCAATGCACGGCTGATGGCAGTGAGCGTGTTTTTAAGCCTGTCTATATTTCAGGCTAGTATCTGGAGGCGAACAGAGCCGAGTGTGGAGTTCCTGCTGACAGAGCTCTGGCTGAGGAACTGTCAACTGGCTCTCATCTGAAAAGGGATGGATGGGGTCAGCCTCCCCCGCCGCTCCCTGCCCCGGGCCAGGCAGGCTGGGCTGCCGAGAGGCGCCAGGGCGAGCGGGCAAGCGGGCTCCGCCGCGAAGGGCTTTCCAGGGGCTGCGGCTGCTCCCATTCTATTCCATCTTTCAAAACACAGCCGTGGGTGCTGGGCAGAGGCTGGGGTGGGCTTCTGGGAGCCTGGGGGTGGTGCTGTGAGGGGAATGGGGGGCAGTGCTCCTCTCCCCCTGCCTGGGCTAGGCCTGGCTTTCCTCCTCCCTCAGCCCGGAGCCAGTTTCTAGGCAACAGGATGGATGCAGGGATGGTTTGGAGGGGAGAGAGAGCTATAAATAGGGAAGAGAGAAAACAAAAATAAAGTTCCAGAGAAAGCCAGAGAGCCGGGGAACCGCAGTACCAGGAGGTGGGGGCGGGGAGACGGACAAACGCCGGGGCTTCCGGGCCAGCCTCCCACCCCCACCCTGCCCCTTCTCAGCAAAGAGTGCCATCTTGGTTGAGGTGCCCAGCCAGGGTCCTCAGTGCTGGCGTGGCCGGGAGGGCATCTGTGCATAGCTGAGCAGGTGGGTGGATGAGCAGGCCTGGCATCTGCTTGCATGAGTAGAGGACGCTCAGGAGTGGGAAGACGGAGGGCTGTCCAGGTGGGAGAGCAAGCGGCTCAGAGCTGGCCAGGCTGGTTTCGCTGAGCAGGTCCCTGAGCATGCCAGGGTGGCCGCAGGCTTCTTTTCTGCTCTCTGCTCCCTCTGTCCTCAATGGGGACTCGGGTCCAACCTCACCTCTGCCAACGCCTGAGCTGCTCATCTTATTGTAACCTTGCTCACCACCCCCTTCCCATGGCCCCTTTTGTCTCTGTACCTTGTTCAACTTACGCTGGATTTGTTCTCCAGACCTGTTAATGACTGGGGGATGGCCAGCGGGTGGGGTGAGGTGGGTCGGTCTCCAGGGCTGTGCCGGAAGCCCCTCACTTCCAGGGGCAGAGCAGGTGTACTGCACACAATGCTGGATCACATGGAAGACCCAGCATAGGTACACACCTGTGCACACGTGACCGCACACAACACTCCCCCTCCCCCGCCTCAGCCTGGGAGACTGTCCAGTGCCTGTAGATTCCACACAGCCGACTCCTCATTTTCTTCTTGCTGGCGTTTTCGGCTTGTCCGTCCCCTGCTCACAGTCACCGCCATTCCCTCCCAGGAATTTAGAAGTCCTAGAGCCTCGGTGTCAGGCCTGCGGCTTGCTGAGGCCCAGGACCGTACCTCCAGGCAGGTCTCTTTCACCTCTATGCCCCCTTCGAGTAGCTGGAGTTCATGACCAGGAAGCCTTGAGTGGAATTAATGCAGAGAAATGTGGTAGCCGGGGCGGGCACCATGCCACAGCCGCCTAAACCTTCATTTGTGGCATTCATATTGTATATGGCTACCGGTTCGAAACCCAGCTGCTCAGCTTACCGCCTAGCAAAGCGATTGCAGAATGGCTCAAGTCCTTAAGCTCCTGAGCCCACGTGGGAGATCCAGAGGAAGCGCCCGGATCCTAGCTGTGGACTAAACCAGCTCTGGCTGTTGGTTATTTGGGAATGAACCAGCAGATGGAAAACCTCTCCCCCACCCCACCCCACCTTTCTCTCTGTAATTGCATTTCCAACAAAAATAAACAAGCAAACAGTGTTGCAGGCGGGACTGGGCAGCCAACAAATGCCTCCAGCCTGCCCTGCCCTCTGGCCCAGGGCTACCTTCTTCCCCCAGGGACCCCTTGAGCTGCACCTGCAATGGGTTTAGTGCGACCAGAGCAGAGAGCAGGGTCTCGGGACGGAACATTCTCACGCGGGCCGGCTGGGGAGCTCGGCTTGCGGTTGGACTCCACCTTCCCCCAGGGCCAGAGGGGGAACCAGGTTTGAGCATCTTGGTGGCAAACTCGACTTCCGCAGACAACCAGCCAAGTGACTGGGGGGAACGCAATAGAGAGGAAGAGGGCCAGAGACCACAGACCAGGTGTGCCCAGCGCGAAGGGATGCCCGGCGCAGCCCGAGGGCCGCAGCCTGCAGTCCCCGCGGTCTTAGGCGGCCGGAAGGGGTCCGGGGCTTCTCAGACGTCCTGCTGCCCCCGGGCACCCGCGCGCCGCGCTCCCGCAGCGGGCAGGCCTTGTGCAGGCCGCGCACCGCCTCCAGCCCGCCACCGCTTGGACAGAAGCGCCAAAACAGGGGAGGGAGGAGAGAGCCCAGGGCCCTGAGCGAGCTCCCGCGGGGCTGAGGGAACCGGGGCGGCGGACGCTCGGGAGGGCGAGCTGGGACGGGGCCTCTGCGGCAGGGGCGGGCCTGGGGCGGAAAGGGCGGGGCCTCTGCGGCACGGGGCGGGGCCAGGGAAGGGCGGGGCCTCTGCGTTAACGCTGCGCTATGGCCGACACCCCAGGGATGGGCCTCTGCTGCAGGGGCGGGGTCTTTGCCGCATAGGGGCGGAGCCTCGGTGAGGAAAACCGGGACCTCTGCTGCAGGGGGCGGGGCCTGGGGAGGGAAGGGCGGAGCCTTTGAGCGGGAAGGGTGGGGCCTCGGGGTTGACTGAGCTGTGGCCGGCATCCGCAGGGCGGGGCCTCTGGGGCACGGGGGCGGGGCCCGGTGCAGACTCCGCCCTGCAGCGCGCCTCCGGTTCCTGTCCCCAGGCGGCGGTGTAGGGGGCCCCCTGGTGCCTGTTCTGATCGGCTCAAAACTCCTGGGCGGTTCACTGGCCCGGGCGCCGCTGCTCCTGGGCTGCAGCTCCGGATGCCAGCATCCCCGGATGCCAGCTTGTCCGCCCGCGTCCCCTCCCCCGGCGCTGGGCGTGCGGCTCGGCACGCGTGTCCTCGGGCCCGCGCGTGTCCGCGAGGGTGGGCCGACCGCCTTGGGCCTCCCAGGCGGATGCGGGTTGCAGCCCAGGCCAGCCTCGCGCCGGACCCCCGACGAGCGCGGTGCACAGGCCGCGACCCCCGGGCAGCTCCCCCCGCCCGGCCCTGCATGGGCGCTGGCTCCGGACACATCGGCTTTATTCACGGACACGCTCACACGTGGAGGGGGCGGGTGGGGGACTCTCCAGTCACGGTCACGACACACGACGCCGGCTGGCTGAGGGAGGAGAGGGGCATGGCGCGGCCTGGCTCCTGCTTTTTGGTCTTTTTTTTTTTTTTTTTAACAAAAAGAGGAAGTTGTTGGGAGGAGAGTGGGGTGCTGAGTGCGGGGCGGGAGCTGCCCGGGGTCCCCTGGGAGAGCCTCTGTCCGCGGGGTTGCGGGGTAGGGGCGGGAGGAGCCGTCGCTTTCCAATCTTGGTTGAAAAACACAGAGAACATGCGACTTGTGAGACACTGGACAGGAGGGGCGACACCAGGCGGGCGAGGCTCGAGCCCCTGCCCCTGCCCGGGGGCCCCAGGGGCTGGAAGGGCCGGGTGGGCGAACACTGGACGAGGAACACTAACACGGGCCCCGAGGGGGTTGCCTCGGGGCAGAAGGAAGAGCTCGTGTTTGGGGGGCACGGGGCAGGAAGGGCTAGCCCTGGCTGTTGGAGGTCGGGTGCTGAGGCGGGGCGGGGATTGTGCTGCTGGTGGGTGGCCGTCCCGGCCCCTTACGCCTCTGGTTCATACTCCTGATATTCTTCCTGCATGGGGGTAGGGGTGTGCAGGAGACAAGAGCAACAGCGAGGAGGGGTTGGAGACCCAGTCGCGGACACTGGCCCCAGAGCCCCCTGACTGTCCCTCCAGGCAGAAGAGCGAGCAGGTGTGTCACAGCAGGGACACCTGCCATCCCGCCAGGCCCCGCAGCTCTCACCTGCGGTGGCTCTTCATAGCTCTCCCCTTCTGGCTCCATCAGGGGCTCCTCAGCAGCTTCCTGGGCTACTTCCTCCGGCTGTGGGCAGACAAGGTCACGGCTGGTCAGGGTTGCTGTAGTGCCCTCTTCATTCCCCCAGGGTTAAGCTTTGAACTGCTTGAAAGAAGGCTGGAGGGTGGGTAGGAGGAGGCTGGAGTGGGCTGGCGGCTCAAGGAGCATTTTTAATTAACTTGTTTATCTGGAGTGCCTTGGCAGTGGAATGGAAGTGTGAAGGGCGAAATCCTCCAAAGCAGGGCTCCAGGCTGGGAGTGGAGGGGGTGCTGGGCTCTCTCTACACCCCCTTTCTCCCCAGCATCTGGCCCTGTCCTGCACTTGCAATGCTGGACTAGATTTGGGAAAAGGTAGCTCACCATCCGTTTTCCCCTAACGCCTTCAAGTCAGGCTGCAGGCTCAGCATCAGGACCCCCAGGGAGAACCCTGGATGCTCCCTTGGGGGCTGCTGGGAGATGGAGCTGCAGGGGGAGGGCTGGGTGGGGGCCTCTGAGCCATTCCTCAGCCACTTCCACCCAGCCCTCCCCCAGGGCCTCGGTGGCCTGGTTTCTCCGCTGTTGCTATTTTAAGCTAAGCTGGAAGCCACAGCTCATGGTGTTGCTTCGATGTGTGAGCTAAGATTCCCTCCTCCCCCTCCCCAGCATCTGCTGCCCAGACGGGCACAGACCAGTGTGGGGTGTGTGTGTGTGTGTGTGTGTGTGTGTGTGTGTGTGTGTGTACCACAGCTAGCCCCTGCAGGTGAACATATGTATGTGCACAAACACAGGACTGAGATGGCTGGCAGTGCAGACACAGCACCCTGGGGGATGGCCACTGCTACAGAAGGGCTGCCTGTGGCCAGACACGCTGGGGACCCTGGGAGCTGGCACTGACAAGTTGTCCTGGCCCTGTAGAGAGAACTTTAGCTCCTTTGGTGCCTGGCCACTTGAAGCCACTTCCTGGTGATGCTGGCACTCCGTATCATTATCCTGCACCAGAATGACCGTTTTGAGCCCCAGCTGCTCCACTTCTGATCCAGCTCCCTGCTCATGGGCCTGGGAAAGCAGCAGAGGGCGGCTCAAGTCCTTGGGTCCCCTGCACCCACATGGCAGACCTGGAAGAAGCTCTTGGCTTTGAGCTCACCCAGCTCCAGCCTTTACTGCCCTTTGGAAAGTGAAATTAGCAGATGGAACATGTCTCTCTCTCCTCTCTCTTCTTTAAAAATGACAACTTGACGGGCTGGTATGGTGGCTTAGTGGGTTAAGCTGCAGCCTGAAGCACTGGCATCATATATGGGCCCTGGGTTGAGTCCCAGTTACTCCAGTTCCCGCTAATGCCCCTGGGAATGAAGCAGAAGAATGCCAAAGTGCTCGGGCACCTGCACCCACATGGGAGACCTGGAGGAAGCTTCCAACTCGCCCTGGCCATTGCGGCCATTTGGGGAGTGAACCAGTGGATGAAAGATCTCTCTCTTTCTCTCTTTTTCTGTAACTCTCCCTTTCACATAAATAAATAAATAAACCCAATATCTTAAAAAAATGTCCCGGCTTGAGCACACTGCTGGGCAACAACCCCGCGGTCCAACAGCAGTAAGATGGGTGTGTACGGCAGGATCTGAGCACACAGCGCAACTCTATACAACAGGATCAGAAGTGAGCTTTTGGGAGCGTGACCAGGTTAGACCCTGGCCAAGGTAAGGCAGTATGACAAAGCCAGCCACGGAAAACTCAGCTCATTTGTGGTGCTGAACACCAGGCAGCAGTTCTGGGACAGGAAGGTTGGGGGAGAGCAGGGAAGAGAGGGGGAGGGCGGGGGGAGGGCAGGCAGGGCGGGGGGAGGGTAGGGAGAGCGGGGGCTGAGGTGAGGTGAGATGCCCAGGTTTAGGTGTGAGGGACCATGCAAATGAGCCCTCCTTCCCAGAATGAGTGCTGAGACACTTTCGTTGTGTCACCCCAGGTCCTGGCTAGAGCAGAAGGGTCTCGGGGGTGGGGAGCCATGAGATGAGGGAGGGGTGCTATGTGTTGGGCTGACGCTAGTCCTATGGGGCTGCCTGGGTGAACAGGCAGGCAGCTTTGGGATTTCTGCCTGCCAGACGGCCTTCACTAAGCAGTCCCCTGGAACCACTGCAGCCTGGCCCCTCGCCAGCTGCTTGCATCAGCGCTGTGTTTCCACTCCGGGTCTCAGCAGCTTGGATGGGGACCGAGGGCAGGTGCTGTCTGCTCTGTGGGTCTGCGGTGGAGAGACCGTGATTTGCTCTCTGGGAAGCAAGGGTGGGCACGCTGAAATGAAGAGCCTGGGCTCCCCTGGGTGCCCCGCTTACTGTGTGGACTCCCTGGAGTTGGCGGTCCCGGGGTCCCACCCAGCAGGTGATCTGCTGGTCATGCTGCTGTGCCAAGGCCCACCTTCAGTGGCCTGGAGATGGATGTGCAAGGCCCACACCTGCTGCTCATCCTGTGCCAGCACCAGGTGACCCGGGAGGCCCGGACCTGAGCTGATGCTTCCAGCCACCAGACACAGGAGGCAGGCAGGACCGGGGGGCTGGTGCTAATCATTTCATCCGCGTGAGCCTCACTCCTTCATCTATGAAATGGCTGAAGCTTGCAGCCAAGGCCCAGGTGTCTGGCAGGGGAAGGTGTCAACTGCACCAAAGGTCTGGGGTGGGAGCGGTGCAGGGTCTCCCTCAGCCCCGTGGACATACAGGCCCAACCAAGGCCCAACCAAGCCCACCATGCTCCTGGGCAGGCCCACAGAGGGACATCTGGACCCATGTGTGTGGGTCACAGACACACTTGCACACGCACCTGTGTGCTTGCAAATACAAACAGCTCGCACCACACTCACACGGTCACACCACACTCACACGGCCACACCGCACTCACACGGCCACACCGCACTCACACGGTCACACCGCACTCACACGGCCACACTGCACTCACACGGTCACACCGCACTCACACGGCCACACCGCACTCACACGGTCACACCACACTCACATGGTCACACCGCACTCACATGGCCACACCACACTCACACAGTCATACCACACTCACACAGTCACACCACACTCACACAGTCACACCACTCACACGACCACACCACACACGGCCACACCACACCACACACAGCCACACCACTCACACGGCCACACCACTCACACGGCCACACCGCACTCACACGGCCACACCGCACTCACACAGTCACACCACACTCACACGGTCACACCGCACTCACACGGCCACACCACACCACACACGGCCACACCGCACTCACACGGCCACACCGCACTCACACGGCCACACCGCACTCACACGGCCACACCACACCACACACGGCCACACCGCACTCACACGGCCACACCGCACTCACACGGCCACACCGCACTCACACGGCCACACCACACTCACACGGTCACACCGCACTCACACGGCCATACCGCACTCACACAGTCACACCACACTCACACGGCCACACCGCACTCACACGGTCACACCACACTCACACGGCCACACCACTCTCACATGGCACTCACGGTGTGGCTGTGTTCTAGCAGTGGCTTTCCAAGGAACTGCGGGCTTAGCTGCAGGTAGGGCCTTGCTAGGAATGCAGATTCTCGGGCCTCCGCCCCTACCCTTGCACCCAGAAGCTGCAGGAGAGGCGGTTTTAAGCTTCACCCCGGCCTCCTGGGGAATCTGAGGACTTGCACTTTAGCTCCGACCTGCCTAAGGACCGTCTGTGCTCCTTTTCCATCACGCAGGTGAAGCCATGAGGCTCAGAGACACTGCGAACCCCCAGATGCTCAGCCAGGGAGCAGGGCCGTTGGGATTCACACCCAGCCACGTGGGACTCCAGGGCTCACCCTGCGATGCAGCCCAGCAGAGGACTGTGTCTGTGCACACGCGGATGGCCATCACTCGCCTGGCACTGAGGTGTGACACACAGACCACCTGCACCCCAGCATGGCTCCCACCTGCCTCAGGGCCTTTGTGCTTGCTGGCTGCTTCTCTCTCATGCCTCAGTGTCAACTCAAATGCCACTATCCCTGAGAAGCCCTCCCAGCTAAAGCAGCCTGCTCGCCTCTCGACTGTCACCTTCCTCGTGGCACTTGTCCCTGTCTGCAGCCATCTGGTTTACCAGCTTGCTGCTCCTACTGCCTGCTCCCACCGACTGTCATGTCAGCCACAGGTGCAAGAGACCCACTCCCTGTGCTCACCATTCTTCCCTGGTGTGGGTAGTTGTTGAGTAGAACTGAGTGGACCCAAGGTGACACGCAGACATGGCCAGACATGGGACAAGCCTACTAGCAAGCCGGATGCCCAGAGGCATCCAGATTGGGGTCCCTGTCACTGAGAGACCACATCTGTACACACCTGCCTGCAGCACCATCTGTGCCTGGCAGGCATGAGGAAAGCAGGGTGGCCAGGGGGCAGGTTTGCTCGGGAGCCTGGCGTGTCTGCACATGTGTGTGTGGATGCATGGGTGTGTGTGTGCATGTGTGTGTGTTTATGCATGGGTGTGTGTGTATGGATGCATGGGTGTGCATGTGTGTGTATGCATGGGTGTGCATGTGTGTGCATTGTGTGTATGGGTGTGCGTGTGTGTGCATGTGTGTGTATGGATGCATGTGTGTGTGTGTATGGATGCATGTGTGTGTGTGTATGGATGCATGGGTGTGTGTGTATGGATGCATGGGTGTGTGTGGATGCATGGGTGTGTGTGCCCTAGAGGCTCACTCACCTTCAGATCGGTGGGAAATTCCTCCTTCTTCACCAGGCCTGTGGCGGCAGCGATGTTCCCAGCCCCAGAGAACACAGCTCCTCCCAGGTGGGATGCCTGCTCCTTGGTCTTCTCTGCCACTGGTGCAGGGAGGCACCGGGGTAGAGGAAAGGCACAGATGCCCCATGCCTTGCCCCATGCCATCCCAGGGCCTGGCCTCCCCCCCCCAGGGAGCAGGACCTCCCCCTGCCCCACACACCCCATCCTGCTCCTGCCCTCACAGGCCCAGGGTGAGGGAAGGGGGCTGGGCCAAGGCAGGGCTGGTACCTGAAGCCACACCTTGAACCACTCCTTCTCGGGTCTTGCTTCCTGCAGGGAGGAAAAGGAGCCTATTTAAGAACACTGGGCCCAGAGGCTGGATCCAGAGTGGGCAGGAGGCAGCAGGCAGGTGCCACCTGTCCCCACCCTGCTAACCCTCTTTCTGCTCAGCAGTCTGAGCCCCTGCAGGCCTCTTTCCACTTGTCCCGCACTTGAACTCTCACACTGTTAAAATACTTGGCTGGCCCAGCGGCTGCCAGTCCAGTCTCCAGCTCTGGGATCTGAGTGCTGCATGGTGCCTTTGTCACGTGCTGGGATGGAGGGGAGGGAGGGTCCCAGCTAGTAAGTGGTTGCAGGGACACCCAATTGTGTGTGCCCACTCTGTGGGCGGTGGGAACAAGGGATGGAACTGAGCCTTACTCCATAGCTCCTCAGTGTGCTGCCTCCTCCAATGCCTTTGCACGAGGGACAAGCCCCTCCTCTGGCCAAAGTGAGGTGTCTTAGGAACAGGCCAGGTCCAAGGCTGGTGGGTACACGGGCCTAGCAGCCCTAGCCTTGGCTAGCTGCTTATTCACATCAAACATGAGAAAGGCACTGAGGGCTGATGTGGGGGAGACATGACCCTCTCCCCTCTTGCAGGGGTGTGGGGGAGTCTGCTCTCCTGACCACAGCTGACAGATCTGGTCTGCATAGGCTGAGGCCAACACCAGCCAGCCAGAGCCCAGAGGCAGAAAGAGGCAACTGCAACCCCCTGCCATTCTTTCCTACACAAAAAGGTGTTGGCATTTGCTGTATGCCCACGGCTCAGGGTCTGAAGGGGCAGGAAAAGATTTATTCCCTGGATCTTAAGGCACTGAGAGCAGAGCCCTCATCCCGCAGCCTCCTGGGGCCTGTGAGCGAGGCAGGGGACGTAGCTCCTTTGAGAAATGGGAAACAGGTGACCATTCAGACAGGAGACCGGAGAGGGTGGTGTGCGAGGCTCAGGGAGCCACACAGAGGCACACAGACACGTGTGTGGTTGGGTCCACATGCCAGGAGCCACGGGTGTGTGAGAAAAGCAGCTGGAAGCTCAGTCTGAGGCAGGACAGGAGGAGAAGCAGGGAAACCACCGAGTCTTTTAGTAGAGTGTCAGAGTGACTGGAGCAAAGGGGCTGGAGGCGGAAGGAAGCCAGAGCTATGTAGATGTGGGCTCTGGCCTCATGCTGTCCACGGCCACCCTTGCCCCAACCACCCTTACCCAGCAGCCATACCTGCCCCCACCCTGCCAGGGACCTAAACTTGAAATCACATCACAGTGGTCCCTTGTTGACCCTCCCTCTTGGCCAAGACCTAGAAGGGCCCCCTTGTGAACTGGCTGTTGCCCATCAACCTCATCCCACTGCCTCCTGCCATTGGTGGGTTATCCAGCCCACCCGGGCGGAGGGAGGAGCTTGGCACCTGCCCTTTCTCTCTCTCCCTCCACAGTCCACCTGTTTTGACCTTGCTGGAAGGTGGTGGGCACCCCTGCCGGCCACTTCCTGGGGATTGCCATTGACTGCACCCCCACCCCGAGGGCGGGTACTGTTGTTCACTGATCCAGCCCTGGAATTCACACAATGCCCAGCGCATGGTAGGCACTCACCAAATGGCTTTTAATTCACCACAACCCAAATCGGCCATGACCTTGGGCAAGGTGTCTAGCCCTCTTGAGCTTGCATGGGCAGCGGGGCGGAGGTGGAATAATTATGCTTGCTGCACACAGGCAAGCCCTGAGTCACTAAATGGGTCTCCAGCCTTCCATCCTTCATGGAAATGACCCTGCAGGTTCCGGCTCCTTCCACGCTTCTGGTGGGAGAGTGTTAACCACGGGACTTCCTGAATTTGGCGCCAGCTGGCAGCTGCAAGGAGGGTGGATGTAGGGAGAACTGGCTGGAGCAGAACCACAGGCACTGGAAAGTGTTGGGGGGGGCACCTGAATAGAGGCTCACTCCTAGAAGAGGGGTGCTGGGGAGCAAGACAAGGGGGGAGCCCCAGAAATTGCAGGGTGGGCCACTAAGGAAGAGCGAGTGTGTAAAACCAGGTGGAAACCTCGTAGTTGAGGTTCCACTGGCTGTGTGACCTTGGGCAAGGGGACCCCTCCACCGTGGGAACCCCAGTTTCTCCAGCTGTTGAATGAGCTGGTTGCATTAAATGAGGTGATGGTGCTATGGCGAGCCCACTGCGTGAGCTGGAGAAAGGACTCCAGGCTAGGTGGCAGTGAACTTGGAGCAGGAGGAAAGGAGACCATCTGCTCGGACCCCTGCCAGGACCCACCAACCCCACCCTCAGCACCTCCCTCCTGCTCCCCAGTGGACAGGGGACTCCATGGCCTACTCCGTCCCGGGTGACCCGGGCTGACCTAGCCCCAACTGCTGACTCATATTCTTCTGCCCACATGGCCCCATCGGCACTGAGGACCCCCCCTCCCCACTCCCCACCACACACTCAGGGAGTTGGCCCTAGCCCTGCCCCTCGCCCACCGACGTAGAGGACGCCCTCCTTGGTCTTCTCCGCGGCCTCGGTGACCCCCTGTTTGGTCTTCTCGGCGGCAGCCACGACGCCCTCCTTGGCCATGGACAGGCCCTTCATGAACACGTCCATCCTGGAGCCTGGGGAGGGCGAACACTGTGGTCGCGGTGTGCTCCACCTGGCTCCGCCCGAGGGACGCGGGGGCCAGCTTGTCCTCCCTCTGGAGACCGGGAGTCTCCTCTGGCAACCCCCTCCCCAGTGTGAGGCCTCAGGGCTGCGAGGAGTCCGGGTGTCCTTGAAACCCGGGGACGCGGGAGGGGCCACCGCCTCGGTTATCCGGGGCCCTGCAACCTTCAGCCCAGAGCGCAGGGCTCGGCGCGAAAACTGCACACGCACGCGGCAGTTCCCCGGCCATCACGCACAAACACACCACGGACACGCTCACGTGCACACACAGGACACACAGGCGTCCACACGCGCGCACGCCCTACACACACGGCACGAATGCATGGCCACACGGCCGTACGGACAGGTGCAGACCCTGGGCTGGGGTCGGGGTTGTCAAACATTGGGAAATGGAGGTGCACCCTGGCGCGCAGGCCCTTGTCCCCTCTCCAACTCCTTCCCATCTTCTTCCTCAACCCGTTGCAGTTCCCTCGGCCTCAACCACCGCATTCTCTGCACCCCGCGCCCAGCGTGCGCTCGGCTGCCTCTCACCTGGATGCGGGGCCGGGGCTGGCGACGGAGCTGCTGCGGCTGTGGTGGGAGGATGCTGGGGAGCTCGGCAAAGCCGGGCTGGGTGGGCTCAAAGTCGTTGGGCGATCAGGTGGGGCCAGGCACTCAGGTCGCAAGCCCTGAAGTGGGGCGCAGCAGTGCCCGGGCCTCGGGTGCGTCGCCAGCCGCTGCTTGCCGCCGGCGCCCCGCTCGCTCGCGCGCGCTGCGCTCGACTCGGCTCCGGCTCGTGCGCTGCGGCAGCTCTGAGCTCAGCACCGCCCCGCTGGCGGCCGCACCGCCCCCTCGGCCTGACTGACAGGGGGCGGGGAGGGTGACATCGCGGAGCCCACGAACCTCCAGGGGCGGGCCGCCGTGGACCGGGCGAGGGGGGACGCCAGAGCCGCGGAGGCGGTTGCAGGTGGTAGGGAAGCGGGAACACTGCGGCGCGCCGGCAGCCCGGAGGAAAGCTTGGAGGAAAGCTTGGAGGAAAGCTTGGAGGTTGTGGCGGGCGGGCGCAGGGCTCTGCAGAGCCGTGGGACTTAGAGACGGTTTTCTCTCCAGCAAAGCGAGGGCGAGCGAACGCTTCAGCAGGTGGCCGGGGCCGGTGGGAAGGGAAGACACGGTTCCCAGGGAGTGCATTTGCAGAGAGGGGCGGTAGGACCGGCCAGCTGGGTGAGGGAACAGAGTGACCAGAAGCGGGGGTAGGGGGTGAACAGAGGCATGGCAACCGGGTTAGAGCAGAGACCTCAGAAAGGCGTCGCTGCTAAGATGACGATTACAAGTGCACAGGAAGGGCTGGCTGTGAGCAGCGGTGAAAAGGCAGTGCTGAGTGGAGTGCCAGCTGCACTTCCCATCCAGCCTCCTGCTGGTGCGCCTGGGAAGTCGGTGGAGGACTGCCCAGGTCACCAAGGTGGGAGACGCGGATGCAGTTCCAAGCCCTTGGCTTCACCCTAGCCCAACGCCTCTACCTCCCCCAGACACCCCTTCAAGCAGTCATAGTAGCCACCTTGGGAGCCAACCAGTGGTCAGATCTCTCTTTACCCCTGTCTGACGCGTCCAAGTAAACAGATAGGGGACTAAAGAAAAGAGAACTGTAGTTGGAGAGACAGGGTGGAGGAGGAGAGAAGGCCGTGTGTGTGTGTGTGTGTGTGTGTGTGTGTGTGTGTGTGTGTAGGACAGCTGCTTGGCCCGGTGGGCAGGCAGCTATGCCTGGGGGTGGGCTCTGACTCCAGCTTCCTGCCAGTGCAGACCCTGGTAGGTGACACCTATGGTCATTGAGTCCCTGCTCCCCACGTGGGAGAGCTGGGGGGGAGCTCCTGGCTTACAGCCTCGGCCCAGGCCAGGAACCAGCAGGAAGGAGCTCTCCCCAGCAGGATTTGCCTCTCAAATACATACACCAAACGAAGCACATTTGTAAAGGTCAGGTGTTTGTTTTGTTTTTCTAGATTGGTTAGATTGTAACAATTGGTTAGATTGTTTTTCTAGATTGGCACATGGTAGGCCAGGGTAGAATTGATGTTCCAGAAACTGTGGGCTCCTGGAGGAAAGGAACTCTGACAATTTCGGGGAGCCGTGGAAGATCAAAAAATGAAGATGACGGTGTGGGGGAGAGGGAGGCTAGCGCCGTGGCATAGTGTATTAAGCTGCTATCTGCAGTGCCGGCATCCATTTAAATACAAGTTCAAGTCCAGGCTGTTCCACTTCCATCCAGCTCCCTGCTTCCGGCCTGGGAAAGCAGACGAGGATGGTTCAAGTGCTTGAGCCCCTGAGACCCGTGGGAGTCCTGAAAGAAGCTCTGGCCCCTGGTGTGGCCCTGGCTGTCGGGGCGATAGAGGGAGTGAAACAGCGAATGGAAGATGTTTCTGTATGTGTGTCTCTCCATTTCTCTCTGTAATTCTACTTTTCAAATGGATAAAAAGCAAACAGAACTTGAAAACACATGTTCTCAGGCCGCTGGTAGGACTGCAACCGTTGCAGGTTCTCTAGAAGACAGATTGGCGAAGCTTAAACACACACTCCTTGCGAGCCAGCAGCTCCCCCTCCCGGAAATGTCTCAGCAGCTCCAGTCACACAAGCGCATCAGAACATTAAGGCAGAGGTTTTTCATGGCAGTGCGCCTTGCTTATCAAAACTCCGAGTGTATCTAAAGGCCTGTCTTTCAAAAAAGATGTTTTATGTATTTTACTTGAAATCAGAATGACAGAGAGAAAAGGAGACACAGCGACAGAGATCTTCCTTCCTCTGGCTCATTTCCTCAATGGCCACCACGGCCAGACCTGAGCTGGTGCAAAGCCAGGAGCCAGGAGCTTCTTCTGGGCCTCCCACAGGGATGCAGGGGCCCAAGGCTTCGAGTTCTCCCCTGCTGCTTTCCCAAGCTGTAAGCAGTGAGCTGGATGGGAAATGGAGAAGCTGGGGCTTGAACTGGTGCCTGTAGGGGATGCCAACAGCACAGGAGAGGATCAGCCTGCTATACCTGCTGACCTACTCATATGCTAGGATTTGGTGATAAAGGGTGAGTTAGAACCCCTCACACTGGGCCCAGCACAATAGCCTAGTGGCTAAATCCTTGCCCTGCCCACTGGAGATCTCATATGGGTGTCAGTTCTTATCCTGACTATCCCACTGGGCAGTCAGCTCCCTGCTTGTGGCCTGGGAAAGCAGCAGAGGACGGGCCAAAGCCTTAGGACTCTGCACCCGCGTGGGAGACCCAGAAGAAGTTCCTGGCTCCTCGCTTAAGATCAGTTCAGCTCTGGCCATTGTCTCCGTTTGGGGAGTGAATCAGCAGGTGGAAGATCTTTCTCTCTTTCTCATCTTCTCTCTGTCAATCTGACATCCAAATAAAAATAAATCTATATTTTTAAACAAGAGTTCACCTGACTTGGTGTGATATCATCATAGAGGCAGGTGCCAAAATGCAATGTGTGGAATGAGCTGGTTGCCTTCTTTTTTTTTTTTTAAAGATTATGTTATTTACATTACAAGGTCAGATATACAGAGAGGAGGAGAGACAGAGAGGAAGATCTTCCGTCCGATGAGTCACTCCCCAAGTGAGCGCAATGGCTAGTACTGCGCCAATCCGAAGCCAGGAGCCAGGAACCTCCTCCAGGTCTCCCACACAGGTGCAGGGTCCCAAGGCTTTGGGCCGTCCTGAACCACTTTCCCAGGCCACAGGCAGGGAGCTGGATGGGAAGTGGAGCTGCCGGGATTAGAACCAGAGCCCATATGGGATCCCGGGGCGTTTAAGGCGAGGATTTTATCCGCTAGGCCACTAAGCCAGGCCTACCTTCTTTTCTTTTTTTAAAAAAATTAAAACTATTTATTTTATTTTTATTGGAAAGTCAGTTATGCAGAGAGGAGGAGAGACAGAGAGGAATATCTGTCCACTGATTTACTCCCTAAGTGGCCTCAATGGCCAGAGCTGCGCCGACCCAAACCCAGGAACCAGGAACCTCCTCCAGGTCTCGCGAGTGCAGGGTCCCAAGGCTTTGGGCCGTCCTCAACTGCTTTCCCAGGCCACAAGCAGGGAGCTGGATGGGAAGCAGGGCTGCTGGGATTAGAACCGGTACCCAAATAGGATCCTGAATATGCAAGGTGAGGACTTTAGCTACCAGGCTACTGCACCAGACCCTACTTTTTTTCAAGATGTACTTATTTAGTTTTTGATAAGCATAATTACAGAGAGAGAAGGGGAGACAGAGAGGTTTTCTTTCCACTGGTTCATTCCCCACTTGGCTGTAACAGCCAGTGTTGGGCCAATCTGAAGCTAGGAGACAAGAACTTCCTCCTAGTCGCCTCAGTGGGTACATTGGACGGAAGATCTTCCTCCCTGTGTATCCGCCCTTCCAATAAAAACAAATACATCTTAAAAAAAAAAAAAAAGATAGGGCCCGGCGCGGTGGCGCAAGTGGTTAAAGGTCCTCGCCTTGCACGCCCGGATCCCATATGGGCGCCGGTTCTAATCCCAGCAGCCCCGCTTCCCTTCCAGCTCCCTGCCTGTGGCCTGGGAAAGCAGTCGAGGACAGCCCAAAGCTTTGGGACCCTGCACCCGCATGGGAGACCCGGAAGAGGCTCCTGGCTTCGGACTGGCATAGTATCGGCTGTTGCGGCTCACTTGGGGAGTGAATCATCGGACGGAAGATCTTCCTCTCTGTCTCTCCTCTCTGTATATCCGCCTTTCCAATGAAAAAATAATAAAAATAAATCTTTAAAAAAAAAATGCTTAGTGTCTATGGCTGGACTGGGACAGCAAGGAGGGAGTGTTACCAGGATCCAGAGGGTAAACCTGGCCTTGGGCTTTCCCTCCTCCCCAGGCCACATGCTTCACAGCTGGGCTCTTCCTCAACAGATTGTACTGAAGGGAGGGCGGGGGGAGACAGAGACCTTCCATCCCTGCTGGAGGCCAGCTCCAGCTGAGTTCG